ACTATTTATCACAACTACATATTCTGAGATTTTCATGGTCGCAGCTACCATTGTACGGCCGTGTGTGCTATTTGAAATTCATCAAAATCTACCGGGAGCACCGGTAAATTGTTATATTCACTTTTTAAATTTTCTAGTGCTAATAATACATCCACAGGGGCATCCAAACTTATCAAAATTGTAAAGAATCTCTATCCACCTAATTTTCAAAATTTCCCAAAACTTTGTATTACCTTTTGAGTCAAATAGTTCACTTAATGATGGTAGACACGATTCTGCCAAAGTGTCTGCAGAAAGTGAACAAATAAATAGTCAATTTCATTTGAAAATCCAAAATCGACAAGGTAAAAAGGTACACCCTTACTCAAGATTATAGCCAAGGGGGGGGGGGGGGGGGGTTACATGTAGTTCACACTGAGAAACAGATAAAGAGTTTTCGTTTAAGATGGCTTTGGTACATTAGTGGATGACAGTAAAGGTCTATGGAAAGATAAGGGTAATTATTGGTTTGATTTGCTCGGTGGCGTAAGTCTTCTGTTAAACTGTAACTATGAGTATAGTATTAATGACTGCTTTGAGAGAAATAGTTGTTTTATTACGCTCAAGGGAAGGTTAGAATTGTGCTATTCCCCGAGGCTTGCCGAGGGGAATAGCCCAATTGTAACCTTCCCGAGAGCGTATGAAAACAACTATTTCTCGAATATTAAAGCAGTCATTAATACTTTTATATGCCGAAAAAAAAATAGACTAAAAAATGAAAAATGAAAAATATTTATCATTTTGTCGAAGACGGGATTCGAACCCTTGCGTACAACAAGAGGTGTACCGAAAACCAACGCTTAGACCACTCGGCTATGGCCCGCCGTTAACATGCATGGCAGTTTTCTCCAATATATACATTAAAATGGATTGAAACCGGCTTCGCGTGTGATGAATGCTTCGCAAAAGCTCCATATACGGACTCTTCTTTTACTTTTGCAATGCATATTGGCACGAACTTAGATCAAGATCTATCGGCAGATGTTGTTTTTTTGTTTTTGGAAGTTTATTTTCGTCTTCATGTCAACAATGCAAGATAAAATTGTCGGTAAGATCGATCGAGATTCAATTGTATTGAAATTACCGACCAATCCTTCGCACACATACGGCATCCTCCATCGCTCAAACCATTTTTTAACATGTAAACCTATGGGGTAACCATGGAGGCTGACCAACTGTTTTTAATAACCATGGTTATTAAAAATATTGAAATGTTTTATGCATGGTTACCGAGAATTTTACAGGAACAGTTGAAGTTTATGAATGCAATTCGACCAATCAGATGGCTGGATTTCTTAAGTGAGGTATATAACATAAATTATTCGATGTCCAGACATGGCAACCTCCTGATTTGTATCTAGAAATATTACAGACCTGGAATTATGTGAAAGGTTATACTTGTAGTGAAAATTATTCTGTACAAAATACATTTTGTGATAAGCAAATATTAAATATGGCATAACAAAAATATTGTTTTAAATACGAAGTCTTTGTTTTACGCAGATTGGTTTAGTTGTTAAATAATTTATCTAAATGACCTTTTTGAAGAAGGACATGTTTTGTCTATCAAAGACCTGTCAGTACGCCTTGAAACAAGGAAAAGCAAGCAAAGACCTGTATTCAATTATACTAAATTAAAGAAAGCTATTCCAAAGATATGGTTCAGTGATCTTACAAATAGAGAAACTGAATCAGTATGTTATACACGCTCTCTTTGAATACCTTATATTAAATTTGGGAGATTGTCTTTACTTATTAATGACAGTGACATAAGCAGCAAACGTTTCTACAATATGATATCTTTTAAACATACAATCACCAACAGATGCTGTCTCTTTTGGGAAAATATACTTTACAAAGAAGTATTGGCTGGTCTTCCGTGTTCAAAAGGAATTTAACGTATACAAGGGAAAAGGGAGTTCAATTTTTAAATTGCTTTACAATATACTACATGTCAGAAATAATCTTTACACAAATTAATGGGGATTAGTGAACGAAATAAACTGTCCCCATGTCATAGAGGAAATAGTGCACGTCTTTATCGAATGTGAACAGAATACAAAAATTCTTTGATCATATCAAACATTTTGTGAAGTACTCTTTTAATAATAATAATAATAATAATATCGAATATTTAGGAGCGCTAAAAACAATAAGTACCATAGCGCTTACAAATACAAATATATATTGATGGATGCATGGATATCTCTTGTTTACTTAAGATTAATAGTGACAGAAAGATAGGCATTGTAACAACGATCGCATTCTGGTGTATATACAAAATGTTAGTCGTCCGGAATAAATATGGATTTCATGAAAACCGTTTCAAACCAAAATACGTATTTGAAAGAGAAATAAAAATCAGAATTTTTGTAAATCAGGAGCTAAAAAGCCAGACCAAAGGTTGCCAGAGAAACTGTTCAAAGCACCATAAATGAAAAGTAGCATAATATTGTATAGTTGAGAAAATATGTGATTTCAATCGATAACATTATATTTGTTGTTACAACTTTATTTTGATGTTTGAAGGTAAATAACCACCTCCTTAGAGGCACAAGAAGAAAAAAGTTCTTATAATAATAATAATAATAATAATAATGATAATAATGACCAAGATAATAATACAAATAACACAATTTATTAAACAAAATGTTGGGAACGATTTACATAGCAAATGCAGAAGAGCTGCAGCGTAAGCTTGTGCTTGAAGTGCATGCATCTCTTTAACTTATTATTATCATTATCATCTTTGTTATTATTATTATAATTATTTATTTTTCTTCATGTGTTTATTATAATTATTTTACTTTACTCAGTCTAATTCCAGACCTCTGGATACAAATAATTTATCTTTCAGCCAAAATATGAAAATGTATAAACTATACTCACATCATGTGTACAATCTATATGGGCTTTTAAGTGCATGTAGATGACGTCATTCGCCCCCTTTAGTTTAGTGCACGACGAGTTCTTATGCTGCATATAGGGATTGAGGAATAATTCTTTTCAAACTGCTGGTTAACAAGTCTAACGATATAGTCCTTAGTACATGCGTGCTCAAATTGGTGTAAACTGCGACAATGGCGAGACTTTAAATACGAATCAGTTGAATAACAATTCCAGCAGAATTCTTGACTGTCCGGCTCTGATTGCATTAACTTGATAACACCTACTTTGCCAAATCCAATAAAACTTGCTTGAGTTGAGAAGGTGGAAAAGTTCTCAAATGTCGACTCCCCATTCATAACAGCACGACTTGTATAGTATAGGAGGAAGTAATAACACACAGCGTTGGGAATTCAGTTGAACGCAATCAAGTTGTGTAATTTAAGGGTACGTTTATGCTCAACTTTATCTGGCCAGAATGAGGCATTTGTTACGCGTTTAGTTCAAAACACGGTTGCGTCCTTTCTCATTTTTGTAGAATCACCGAAAAACGGCGATCGTAGTCGCCGATCGTAAACTCACTAAAAGGTGCGTTTTGGATCGGCGATTCTGCAAAATCAGCGATTCTGGGGAAGCATAAACGCACAATCATTTGTAAACGCGTTTAAATGGTGTCAACGTAGCATACGCAGACAGCGCAATGCAGGTTTGCGAATCCAGCTGCAGAGCCAGAATCATGCCTGGAGGAGCCAGAGAAGTGAGAATAAACAGTACACCGTGGAACTGTGATTACGATGGGCGTTTATGATGAGCGTTTCAAATCGCTCATTCTGCTTTCAAAATTGAGCATTAACGTACCCTAATGCCTCGCATGATCGCACGCATAGTTTGATATTCATATTGATATGTATTTCTGACGGGTTTCATTGTTGCGAGTGGGGTCATTCATTTGTATTTTTACATTTGTTTACAGAAAGAAAATTATTTCAATTCATCCAGAGAGAGAGAGAGAGAGAGAGAGAGAACGAGAGATATAATAAGCGAGTTGGTGGGTGGGTGAAGTCGGTGGTGTAATGAGCGAATACATTTTTTTTTTTTTGGGGGGGGGGGCATACAAAATACAACCCCGGAAAATCATGTCATTTGAGCAACATTTTGCACTGGGATCGAATTAGAAATAAACCACGTTTGAATTTTATTATCACTACCTCCATCCAGAGGCGGCGATTCCAGGGGGACGATGATACGTCCCCTCTCAGTTTTTTTAAGGGATCGTCCCCCGGAAAATTTGAAAAAGTGAAACAACAAAAATGTATAACAAATACTGGCTTAACACTGCAACACACTTTTAGGCTCTGGAGGGCACAAGAGTGCATCGTTTGGATAATACAAATGCTAAAATCTTCTTACTCGGTCGCTACGCTCCCTCGTATTACATCCTTCAAAATATACAAGTAAATATTGTAGAACACCTGTATTCCGTTGGTATCACGTAGGCACAGTTTACACTGTATGTTTACAAGATTAAGAGTTATAGCAATTAATTAGACTCTTTTAAAGAGTCCCTTCCTGCCTCGTCATAAAATTATTGTCATCTAAAAAGAAATGGTGTGCATCAACTGAGCACTAATTAAAAAAAAAAAAAAAAAAATTGCCCCAAGAAATTTGAATATTTCGCTCGACACCCCTCTCCCTTGGACCAAAAAAAAAGAAGGTACATTTTTGGTCACAATCCCCCCCCCTCCCCTGATCCACGTCTGGCCACCTTCATCACTAAGTCTATCACCATCATCAGCAACACTCCCACCACATCACTACCTCCATCACCATCATCAGCACCACTGCCACCACTATCACTACCTCCATCACCATCATCAGCAACACTCCCACCACATCACTACCTCCACCACCATCATCAGCACCACTGCCACTACCATCACTACCTCCATCACCATCATCAGCACCACTGCCACCACTATCACTACCTCCATCACCATCATCAGCACCACTGCCACCACCATCACTACCTTCATCACCATCATCAGCACCACTGCCACCACCATCACTACCTCCACCACCATCATCAGCATCACTGCCACCAATATCACTACCTCCATCACCATCATCAGCATCACTGCCACCAATATCACTACCTCTATCACCATCATCAGCACCACTGCCACCACCATCACTAAGTCCATCACCAACATCAGCACCACTCCCACCCCCATCACTACCTCCATCACCATCATCAGCACCACTCCCACCACCATCACTACCTCCACCACCATCATCAGCACCACTCCCACCACCATCACTACCTCCATCACCAACATCAGCACCACTCCCACCCCCATCACTACCTCCATCACCATCATCAGCATCACTGCCACCAATATCACTACCTCTATCACCATCATCAGCACCACTGCCTCCACCATCACTAAGTCCATCACCAACATCAGCACCACTCCCACCCCATCACTACCTCCATCACCATCATCAGGACTACTCCCACCACCATCACTACCTCCACCACCATCATCAGAACCACTCCCACCACCATCACCACCTCCATCACCATCATCAGCACACTCCCACCACCATCACTACCTCCATCACCATCATCAGCATCACTGCCACCACCATCACCACCTCCACCACCATCATCAGCACCACTGCCACCACCATCACTACCTCCATCACCATCATCAGCACTAGTGCCACCCCCATCACTACCTCCACCACCATCATCAGCACCACTGCCACCACCATCACTACCTCCACCACCATCATCAGCACCACTGCCACCACCATCACTACCTCCACCACCATCATCAGCACCACTGCCACCCCAATCACTACCTCCACCACCATCATCAGCCCCACTGCCACCTCCATCACTACCTCCACCACCACCATCATCAGCACCACTGCCACTACCTCCACCATTATCATCAGCACCACTGCCACCACCATCACTACCTCCATCACCATCATCAGCATCACTGCCACCACCATCACCACCTCCACCACCATCATCAGCACCACTGCCACCACCATCACTACCTCCATCACCATCATCAGCACCAGTGCCACCACCATCACTACCTCCACCACCATCATCAGCACCACTGCCACCACCATCACTACCTCCACCACCATCATCAGCATCACTGCCACCAATATCACTACCTCCATCACCATCATCAGCATCACTGCCACCAATATCACTACCTCTATCACCATCATCAGCACCACTGCCACCACCATCACTAAGTCCATCACCAACATCAGCACCACTCCCACCCCCATCACTACCTCCATCACCATCATCAGCACCACTCCCACCACCATCACTACCTCCACCACCATCATCAGCACCACTCCCACCACCATCACTACCTCCATCACCAACATCAGCACCACTCCCACCCCCATCACTACCTCCATCACCATCATCAGCATCACTGCCACCAATATCACTACCTCTATCACCATCATCAGCACCACTGCCTCCACCATCACTAAGTCCATCACCAACATCAGCACCACTCCCACCCCATCACTACCTCCACCACCATCATCAGCACCACTCCCACCACCATCACCACCTCCATCACCATCATCAGCACCACTCCCACCACCATCACTACCTCCATCACCATCATCAGCATCACTGCCACCACCATCACCACCTCCACCACCATCATCAGCACCACTGCCACCACCATCACTACCTCCATCACCATCATCAGCACTAGTGCCACCCCCATCACTACCTCCACCACCATCATCAGCACCACTGCCACCACCATCACTACCTCCACCACCATCATCAGCACCACTGCCACCACCATCACTACCTCCACCACCATCATCAGCACCACTGCCACCCCAATCACTACCTCCACCACCATCATCAGCCCCACTGCCACCTCCATCACTACCTCCACCACCATCATCAGCACCACTGCCACTACCTCCACCATTATCATCAGCACCACTGCCACCACCATCACTACCTCCACCACCATCATCAGCACCACTGCCACCCCAATCACTACCTCCACCACCATCATCAGCCCCATTGCCACCTCCATCACTACCTCCACCACCATCATCAGCACCACTGCCACTACCTCCACCATCATCATCAGCACCACTGTCACCACCATCACTACCTCCACCACCATCAGTGGCACGAACGGTGTGATGAGCGGACGTGTTATGACCTAGCTCTCTCCAACAATGAGCTAAACTGAGCTATACTGGAAATATTACCTCGAAAACCTCGAAAACAAGAACTGTTTATCGTTACATGGACTACCAGCTTGTAGAAATTGGACCCAAAACCCTTGATTTACCAGCGAAACATCAGTAAAAATGCCTACAAGATCTGGAAAGCCAAGACGAGAAGCTGCAGCAAACAACGGGACACACCCAACCATTGTCCCTACCCAAGGCGCCGTGGAGAGCCCACCAGCTCCCGCTGATGTATCGGGCGGTACAAAGGAACCCGGTAAACCGGCGCCAATTCACGCATCGGGAGATCACGTGATCAAGCTACGAAGCCCCGCGGCGCCAGAATCTACTTCCGTAGAGCCCGATGCTAAACTCAATTCAGCCATTCGGCAAGTATTGGAAAGTCTTCTCAAAGACGACGAATTTGTAAATCAGCTCACTCGAACAATTCAAGGAAAGCTTCTGAATGATTTAAAGGAGTCAATTTGTCAAGAAGTTTTGGACTCGTTGGAATTTAATTCTGCAAATCAAGGGGATGTGATGGCGGCAATGAGAAAGGAAATAGACGAATTAAAGGAAGTTAATGATGATGCTGAGCAATACTCCAGACGTACATGCCTTGTGATAAGTGGTGTACCTGAGAGGATGAATGAGAATACCGATTCCAGAATCATACAACTCTGCAAGGAGGACCTCGGTGTCGATATCAAGATGGATGACGTCGAGCGTAGTCATCGACTTGGGCAGCAGAAACCCCAAAGCGACGGATCGACGAAACCGCGCATCGGGACGACCAGCTATAGCCACCCACCCAGGAATATCATCGTTAAATTCAATAGCTATCGCACCCGAGAGCAAGTCTACAGTGCACGATTCAAGCTAAAGAATCTTAGCGATGAGAATAATCACCATGTCTACATCAACGAAAGCCTCAATAATAAGCGGAAAGAACTACTCTGGAAGGTTAGAAACAAATTCAAGAAAATCATTGATAAGACATGGACACAAGATGGACGTATTTGCATTAAACTGAAAGAAGGAAAAGGAAGAGTGAATGTCACAAGAGAGAGAGAGACTTAGACAAACTGAGCGTATACATGAGAAATTCTGCTATATAATTTGAACTGAGTGTTTGAGCCTCCACCCACAGATGGTGGTGCTGGAGAAATTATTCATGAACTTGTATGTACCTGTTTGCCATTTCGAAACAATTTACTCTTTGTAACAAAATGGAGGTATTATTAGAGATAAAATTATCTCAAATTAATGCCAGCTTGGCTCATGTTGAGAATTTCAAACGTTATATTCAATTTAATTGAGAAGGAGACGAACATTATTTCACATTAATTGTATTTATATTTCAAGTTTTTCTTGTCCTATTTTATCATTTTAACCATGGTCAATGTTTTTCCTTGTTATATATGTGAGAAACCCGTAAAGTGTAATAAAAAAGCGCTACTTTGTACAAAATGTAACCAGTGGATACACATTTCATGTGGAGATGTATCTTCCAAACAATATGATGATGAAACTGAACAATTTCACAATTGGCAATGTACCAAATGTATTTTCCTAGAAATGCCGCTTTGGAATGTTGAGGATATAGTAAAAGATAGAAATGTGAGCTTGAACCATACAAATTCTGTTGATATAGACATTGACTTAAGTACGAATACCTGTACCTCTATAAATGACTTTCCAAAGGGTAAAGGATTGAAAATTGCACATTTAAATATTCGTAGTCTTAGAAATAAGGTGGATGATCTGCAATTACATTTGAAAGAAAATCCGTACGAAATCCTGACCTTGTCAGAAACATGGCTAAGTGAAAACATTTGTAATTCATTGTTACAAATTGATGGGTATCATTTTGAAAGACTAGATAGAGACTAAAAGGGAGGAGGAGTTGGATGTTTTATACAAAAGAATATATCATATATAAGACGACCTGATATTGAAGACCGTGAGTTAGAAATTACGTGGCTAGAGATAAGACTACACAATCACAAACCAAAGTATCTTGGAGTTGTATATCGTCCACCTAACAGTAGAAGTGCTTTTTTCAATAACCTAGAAATTAATTTAGAAAATATATGTATGTTATCAAATGATATTGTAATATTAGGTGATATAAATTGTAATATGTTAACTCAGAATAATCTTTCAAAGCAGATACACGATCTGAGTGACAATATGCATTTGTCTCAGCTGATAAGGGCCCCGACACGTATAACCGTTAATAGTACAACCCTTATTGATCTAATTCTTGTGTCAAATAATTTGAAATCACTGGAGAGTGGCACACGGTCTATCGGTCTAAGTGATCATTTATTGATATACCTTGTATTGAAAGAAAAACCACCGCCCTCTATATGTTCTGTGAGTACCTACCGTTCATTTAGAAACTTTAATGAAAATTCTTTCAAAATGATGTTAAAGATATAAACTGGGATAATTTGTACTTAAACAATCACAATGTTGAGAATATGTGGAATATTTTCAAATGTAAATTCAAAGACATTTGTGATCTTCATGCACCATATGTCACAGTAAGAAAACATTCTAGGGGGTCACCTTGGATTACCAACGAATATTTATGTATCGCAAGAGATAGGAATTATTTTAAATGCAAATTTAATAAACACAGAACTACAGACTACTGGGAAAAGTTTAAAGAATTCAGAAATAGGGCAAATGTACTGAACAAGAAGTTAAAGAAACAATATTATAAGAATCTTTGCATTGAAAATGGTAATGCTATGAAAAATCCTGGAAAGTACTCAAAAACTTACTCCCAAAGAAAGATGCCAATTCTGATCATAAAATTCTTGTAAATGACCAAATTGTAGTAGACAAAGAAAAAGTAGCAGAATTGTTTAATGAAAGTTTCAATAATATTCGAAGCCAACTAACAGGAGCGAATGATTCTCATCTCAATATAAATGCATTGCAAACATTACCGCAAACAGCACATGAATTCAAATTTACAGAGATCGAGGAATGTTTGGTATTAAAAGAACTACTCAAGCTTGATGTTTCAAAAGCAGTTGGTATTGATGACCTTCCTCCAAAGCTACTTAAAATAGCTGCCCCACATATTGTTAGAGCCTTAACAGTATTGTTCAATTGTTCATTGTCAAAAAGGTACGTTCCTCATTAATTCAAAGTTGCTAAAATAACCCCTATTCATAAAGGTGGAAACAAAATGGAATTAACTAACTACCGACCTATTTCCGTTCTCCCCACAATGTCAAAGATATTTGAAAAAGCAGTGCACAATCAGATATACTCTTACTTAAACAAACATTCTTTGTTAAGTGAATGGCAATCAGGTTTTAGACCAGGGCATTCAACTCTAACATGCTTGACTGAAATAGTCGAAGGTATACTTGACAATATGGACAAAGGTCTGGTCACTGGAGCCATTTTTCTTGACCTGAAAAAGGCGTTCGACGTTATACCACATCCATTGATTATTAAGAAAATGTTATTGTATGGTATTGGGGGAGTTGAACTTGAGTGGTTCGAATCCTATCTATCTAATAGGCAACAATGTGTATTCTTGCAAGGGACGAAGAGTAATTTTCTAACTGTGAAATCAGGAATTCCACAAGGATCAATACTGGGGCCATTAATTTTCTGCCTTTATGTGAATGATATTTGTAACCTGCAACTCCATTCTAAGACAAAGATTTCCTTATATGCAGATGACACGGCAGTATTTCATCATGGAAAGGATTATAAAGTTTGTGAATACAATCTCCAAAAAGATTTTACCCGTATCTTGAAATGGCTAAAATACAATGGACTGTTTTTAAATGCAAATAAAACCAAAACAATACTATTTGGTTCCAAAAGAAAAATTCAAAATAATGATATTTGTATTCGTTACAGTGACAATGTACTCGACTCAGTCGAAAGTATGAAATATCTAGGTGTAACACACTAACACTAGACAAAGGTTTAACATGGTCGTTACATGTAAAAGAAGTTGTTAAGAAAGTATCGGGTACGATTGCCTGCATTAGACGTATACGCAATTATATTTCCCGTAAGAATCTGATTACATTATACTATTCTCTTATCCTACCGCATTTAAACTACTGTAATTCAGTATGGGGAAATACTTCGAAACAAAATCTAACAAAGTTGCAAAAATTACAAAATAGATATGCACGATTAGTTCTTCGTGCCGAATATTTTACACACCAAAATGTTTTAATGAGTAAATTGAAATGGCGGTCATTAGAGGAAAGAATTAAATATCAGAAATGCATCTTGATTTTTAAAATCATAAACGACCTATCACCACCATATCTTAATCCATGTATAAGTAAAAGACCGATATTATATTCTACTTGTTATGCTTTAAATAGTCCATTGTTCATTCCAAAATGTAAAACAAATTTTAAAACGAAAACCTTAGCGGTTTCAGGAGCTAAAATATACAATAAATTACCCTATCATATTAAAAATTGTAAGTCGCTGCAAAGTTTTAAAAAGAATGTCAAAACCTTTCAGTTTCCCTTGTAAACATATTTTCACGTTAACTTGACCTTTATTTATTACATTTCATTCATCTAGTTTTCTCAATTTGATAGTTGTATTTTTTTTCCTTATAATTTATTGTTAATGCGTGTTTTTCGTTACCTATGTTTAATTATTGTATATACCATGTATATTTTACCTTTGTATGTATGTTTTGAATTCATGTTATTATTGTACATGTTTTTATGTGAATACAGGGCTCTCTGGGAAAGCAGGCTCAAAAATGAACTTGAATGAGACCACCCTGTTAAAATAAAACTATTAAAAAAAATCAAAAAAAATCAGCAGCACCACTGCCACTATCTCCACCACCATCATCAGCACCACTGCCACCACCATCACTACCTCCATCACCATGATCGCTGATACTACCATCATCTCTCTTTACCATCATCAGCACCACTGCCACTACCTCCACCATCATCATCAGCACCACTGCCACCACCATCACTACCTCCACCACCATCATCAGCACCACTGCCACCACCATCACTACCTCTATCACCATCATCAGCACCACTCCCACCACCATCACTACCTCCATCACCATCATCAGCACCACTGCCATCCCATCACTACCTCCACCACCATCATCAGCACCACTGCCACTACCTCCACCATCATCATCAGCACCACTGCCACCAATATCACTACCTCCACCACCATCATCAGCACCACTCCCACCACCATCACCACCTCCATCACCATCATCAGCACCACTGCCACCACCATCACTACCTCCACCACCATCATCAGCACCACTGCCACCGCCATCACTACCTCTATCACCATCAGCAGCACCACTGCCACTATCTCCACCACCATCATCAGCACCACTGCTACCACCATCACTACGTCCATCACCATGATCGCTGATACTACCATCATCTCTCTTTACCTTAATCCTTTCAGGACAGGATTTTTTAAAAGGCTTAATTGATCACATAATGTTCTTCACATTGGCAATAGTCATATTTTTTCTTTTATTGATACATTGTTAAAATAAATCGTAATGTCTCTGAAAAACAATATCCATGAATGAGAATGTTGTAATAACGTTAAAAAAATTGCCAATTAAAAAACAAAACATTGATTTTAAATCTCACTACGTGTTGCCAATTTAAGGATTTTAGAGCTTGTTATCATGTCTAAAATTCCTAGCATTACATGCAATAAAATGAAACAAAAATGGATAGTGTGTGCTGAAATTTTGCCCCTTCTGCTCATGTATCTTGCATATTTTTTTAGGGCTCTGAATAAGAATGTGGAGCCAATTAAACCACAAAATGAGGAAAGATTGTTGCAAAAGGGTTAAAATCACTACCACCACCAGTTATCATCACCACATCTACTGCCACCATCAAACAATACTTTTCAACCCTCTACCATCACCACCACCACCACCATCACCACCACCACCACCATCACCACCACCACCATCACCACCACCATCACCATCACTGCCACCAGGCGCGTACGCAGGATTTTTTCAAGGGGGGGTTTTAACATTTATAAATCGGTCCGAAAATTTCGCAACGACTCAGCCAGCCGCTGAATAAGCGGGGGGGGGGGGGGGGGGGGGGGGGGTAAGAGGACACATTTTTTTTTTTTTTGGTCCCAAAAAAATCGCAACGACTCAGCCGACCGCTGAATAAGCGGGGGGGGGGGGGGTAAGAGGACACTTTTTTTTTTTTTTTTTAATAAAAAAAAAAAAAAAAAAAAAAAAAAAAAAAAAATCCAAAAGGGGGGGGGGGGGGGGGGGGGGGGGGGGGGGTTTTAGGTTTTTTTTTAGGGGGGTTTACACACAAAAAATTTCCAAAGGGGGGGGTTTAACCCCCCAAACCCCCCCCCCCCTGCGTACGCGCCTGACTGCCACCACCACCATCACCATCACCACCACCACCAAAATAACTTACTCCTCATCATATGGTGAATCCATGACTTGCAGAGTGGCCGCCTGAAAGTCTTGTATCAGCAGTTTGCTCATGTAGTTCTTCCACGACTTGGTGACGTTGGGGAGTTCTTTCTCCTTGAAATTAGCAGGCGCACTCTCCTTCACAGGCTCCTAAAGTAAAGAGAACAAATTATAAAAAGAAAATGAATAATTCTCTCTTTTTTTTCTGTGAAGGTGCAATGGTATGATGAGTACACTCGACTTCCAGAAGTATTATGTAATTGATATGCATTTAAATTGGGGGGTTTCTGAAAATCACAGTATCTTAATTTTCGTGAAATAAGTATCTTCGTGATAACAGTATTTAATTGCATCTTGTTTTCCTTGGTGCTTAGGATGTCTAAATTTAGCTGCTACCTAAACATGAAAACTAACCACAAAGAACAAATGAAAGTATTCTGAAAGACAAGATGAATGTCTGCCTTTTGTTGTACAATAAATCATACGAATGTGTACAAGAGATATTAATGAAGATTTCTTGGCATAATGTAATGCCCATTAGCATGACATGGGCGCAGCCATTTTTTGGGAAATGTGACGTACCAAGCGGAGTTATACATGTATCATGCACCAAGCTTTAATTGGAAAGACTTTTTAATTCAATAACAAAATCTTTACTTTTAGATGAGAGACAATCATAGCCAAGAAGGTAAAAATTAAATTTGATGAAAATATATATGATAAAGTAATAATTTTAACTCATTTATTCAAAAATACCTTTTTAATGCTTTATGCCTTTCTCATACACTTTGGTGGGGAATCAATGATGGGCAAGAACGCAATAAATCTCTCAGAAGAACTAAAATCATTGTTTAATATTTTAATGTACTCATGTATATATTCTAGTAAAAGATTTTTATGTTACTTACAGTACTAGTTGCAAATGTTTGTGTTTTGTAATGTGATTTTTATGGAATCGAATAAACTATAATGAATATGAATCAAAAATGAAAAAAAAAAAATCTTTGGGGATTAGTTCTCCTTTAGCCAATGGCATGCCATTGGTACACATTTCAGTTAAAATATATCCATGAAAAAACAATACAGTATATACAAAATATTCTGGGGATAAAATATTTCTAGTTTTTATTTAATAATAATACTAATAATGATAATAACAATACTTATAATGATAATAATACTAATAATACTAATAATGATAATAACAAAACTTATAATGCGATAATACTGATACTAATAATGATAATAATAATTACATTAATAATGATACTTATAATGCTACATATTTTAATGATAATAATTATATAATAAAATAATGAAAGTGGCTATTTATAAAACTAAGTGCAAGTATCCGCTAAGTACTGACGCTTGTGGCACTGTTAACCTCTGTAACTGGAGAAAGGATGTACAGGTGTAGGGTACAATTACTGCTTTCTATTACCCATGAATACAATAACTAATTGAAAGCAATCTGATAGTGACATGGATGCTTTATGGTACTCATGAATGACAACAATTGTGTGCAGTCTAAATTGATCAGTCCTTCTAGATGGTTTGATAGCTAATTCAACTCTTCATATGTACCAACATTATTTTCTCATGGGATAGGTTAACAAAAGGCTTCAAGATTATTTAAATGTTTTCATTGGAAGATTAATTATATACATGAGTAAAAACTTAAAAGGGTTGTCATGGAGCTAATCAGATCAAGAGCAAAAATAGGCAATCATGCGAGGCAATTACGTTGCAAAAAAAAAATCCTTCTGTCCATTGATGTTTATTGTTTACCGTATGCAAAATTGCACGTGTTGCAAACGAGAGACCAATCAGGGGGGGGGGGGGGGGGCAAAGAAAGCTTCCAAAGTGTTAAGAACAGGAATTTTGTGCAGGCTAAATTGGATAGTCTTTCTTGATGACTTGTATGATGGTTTGTTTGTCTTACCCAACTACTAAGAAAAGATGTGTATGTTTAATATAACTAAGCAACCGCAGGACCGATGGCTTTAGTTTAAGTCCTCTCTGAGAGATTCGCGACCTCTCGGTATGACCACAGCTCTCCCACTGAGCAGAGATGCCAACCTCTTGACCCCCCAAATAGACTGAGTATCCTAAAAAAAAAAATCAGATTTTCATCAAAATTCGACACTACCACTGGCCCGTCAGCCCTGGGCCAGTAAAATTTCAGAAAAATGTTTTACTGGTAAGTACGGTCAAGCAAAATGTTTGCTCTTTCATTAAAATTTAATGAGAAAATTGTAAAGCAAAGTTTTTTGGGGGGTTCGGGGATTTACTTGTATATGTTTCTATGCTATTCCGCTGTTTATATGGCTTTTTATGGATTAAAACCAAAAAAAGGGATCCGGTAACCTTGTCTTAGATCCTTTTAAAAAATCCTTGATTTAGCTCAAGCTACAATGACAATTATAAACCTTTAGGTCAGTCAGTAACCCTAGGACTTTTACAAGCCGATCGCCTGTCTGATTATCAAGATATTAATGATTGAAAATCGAAATCAAATTTTGCGTTTTCCTAACAGTTTTCGTAACACTACAGTCTATTGGGGAAAACGAGTATGGTAAAACCGGTCACTCAAAGGTTTTTACTATTTTGAGGCACTTCTTGTGTGGGTTAGCATCTCTGACTAAGTCATCGCCCCTCCTTTTATCTGATGACATCAACTATAGTAGTTTTAGTCATTTCTTTTCCTTTGTGAAATTAAATGTCTTTGTGAAATTAAATGAACTTATATTTTTGTTATGCTCTATTTATCATGCTTACCAAAAAATCCTGTAATTTAAAAAAGAGAGAAAAAAAGGAAAGATAGATGAAGATGAAGAAAACAAAACCAAACAAACAGGAAAAGCAGCTTGTTTTGATCTACGGTACTAGTACTTTGAGCACTCAATAAATTCCGGGTTTTATGAAAGTGAAACATACTTCAGACAGGCAAAAACAAATTTTAAATTAAAAAAAATGCTTATGATTAACCTCTAACATATATCCTCTTTTGGATCCCTTAATTGTTTTTTTAATTGCGGATATGTATGAGACAATCAATTTCAAGAGTATGAAAACTAAATAAAACTAACATTTAAAGTTGATTGAGGTCATCAAATCTTTGGGTTTTAAACACTGTTGTCTTCAAAGCTTGGAGTGAAAAAGCTGTAACTTCAATTCATTTTGATTCTGCAATTCAACATCTTCAGAGGTTTTTCAACTGTACTTCGAGTCATATAGTAGAAGGAATTGACTTTAGGAATTAGATCCATTAATGTTTTGAATCCATCTCTTTAAGATTCTTCGACAAAGTTTGCTTCAGAGGTTTTCAAGTGAACTTTGAGACAAGGAATGGACATTTAGGAATTAAATACTTTGCAGTTTTGAAGTCATCTCTTTGAGATTCTTCGAGAAACATTGCTCCCGAGGTTTTCAATTGTACTTTGAAACAAGGAATGGACATTTAGGAATTAGATACTTTGCAGTTTTGGAATCATCTCTTTGAGATTCTTCAAAAAACATTGCTTCAGAGGTTTTCAATTGTACTTTGAAACGAGGAATGGACATTTAGGAATTAGATACTTTGCAGTTTTGAAATAATCTCTTTGAGATTCTTCAAAAAACATTGCTTCAGAGGTTTTCAATTGTACTTTGAAACGAGGAATGGACATTTAGGAATTAGATACTTTGCAGTTTTGAAATCATCTCTTTGAGATTCTTCGAAAAAATTGCTTCAGAGGTTTTCAATTGTACTTTGAGACAAGGAATGGACATTTAGGAATTAGATACTTTGCAGTTTTGAAATCATCTCTTTGAGATTCTTCGAGAAACATTGCTTCAGAGGTTTTCAATTGTACTTTGAGACAAGGAATGGACATTTAGGAATTAGATACTTTGCAGTTTTGAAATCATCTCTTTGAGATTCTTAAGGGAAAAATTGCTTCAGAGGTTTTCAACTGTAATTCAAGTCATACAGTACATGGAATGGATGTTTAGGAATTACCCAGGTGCCACAGACCACTCAAAGTCCTGATGTGAAACGTTTAGTGTTCTGCCTTTGGAGGCCATGATTTTATGGATTTTATCAATACACAGAAATTTTTACCATACTTTGAATTGGCAAACAACTGCAATTGTTTGATATACTATATACATGTCGACCGCCGTCTGCACTTGTGAAACTAACGTAATTATCAAGGATTTTTTGAAATTATTAATAGTTGTAAATGAGCACCAGGGACTTTATTTTACAACCTTTTGCAATTGTGAAGCTCGAGCGATTACCAAGAATTCTTTTTACTTTGTGAAGTTTATTATAAATGAGCGCCAGACTTGAACATAGGCCACTGTCTGAATTTTTGAATCTCTAGTAATTATTTTAAAAAATGTTGATTTTGTGAAGCACGCTGTAAATGACCACCAAGACTTGAATATTGGCCGTTGTCTGAAATTGTAAAACTCAAGAGATAAGCCGGACAATTCTTAACACAGCTAGGAATACGTAGCAATTAGCCGTGGCCATTCTGAAGCAAACAATACATTTTCATTCTGCACTGGTGACACCCTAGAGATTATAATCATGATGAAGATAAAAAATTCCCATACAACCTCAAGGTTTTCCTTTTGCTTGTGGGTGCTGTATACCATGTCCCTGCTCTCTACAGGATCACTTGTGAAGGATGTTTCAGGAAGTCTCAGCCCTGAGTCAACCAGAGGTTGTCAGCTTAGGAACACCAGCATCGGATCAAAAGCCAACTGTACTCATCTAGATCTCAAGTCTGTTCCTCAGGATCTTCCAAGCAACACGGTAATGCTTGATCTCTCCTTCAACAAGATCACAACCCTGTTCAACGGTTCTTTTGCCTATCTTCCTGACATCACTACCTTAGGGCTGGCAAGCAATTTCCTCTCACAGATCGAAAATGGTACCTTTAAGCCTCTGGTTCATCTCAGGGAATTAAGTCTAAATAGAAACAAACTAGTTTCTCTTCCATCAGGTCTGTTTTTTACAAATCAATTCCTTTCCACACTCATTCTAGGTAAGAACCGATTGTCTTCTTTTCCTAGTGATGCACTGCCATGGTCTAACAGAATAAAGAAACTTGACTTACGTAGCAATAATATCTCCTTCTTTGAATCCCATGACTTAAGACCTCTACAGAATTGTTCACTGGAAGTTCTGCAATTTCAAGATAATGCCTTAAATAATCTTTCTCTAAACGTTTTCTCATATTTGAGCACAGTGAGGAACTTGTTTCTTTCGAAAAACAATTTAAACAAAATTCACACCTCCATGTTTTTAGGAAGTACTGTCATCAGAAACCTTTACATTGATTCATGCAAGATACATGAAATCATTCCACTGAACAAGTCACGTGTCTCTCTAGGGGAATGGGGCAACATCTCTAAATTAAGTCTTACACCAAATATGATAAGTTACGTCCCTGACTTTGCATTTTGGGGTTTCAATCAGACCAAATTTCTTTCACTTAATGGAAACAAGGTTGCTAGTTTATCAAACAGATCTTTTTGTGGGTTAGATCACTTAATTCAGTTGGATCTGTCTTACAATCGCCTCGCAACCTTAAGCTTAGATATGTTCTCTTGCAATAACATGTTACAGCAACTGAAACTTAATGGGAATAAGATTGCAAGGCTATCAATTGGCATAGAATTTGGCCTATCCATACTCTTTCACCTCGACTTGGCGCACAATAATATTAAGGATATCGAAAGCAATATAAAGAATGTAACATTTCCCTCAGTAGAGTACATTGATCTGTCTTTTAACAAATTCATAGGGATCAGGAGGTTTTTAATGGGGGGTTTCACTAATCTGAAAATTCTGAACATGTCGAACAATGAAATCTCCAATACATATTCTCCCAAATCGTTCACAAACCTGAGGCTTCTCCAGGAGCTGTATCTTTCCAATGAGCATTTCCAGACAATCAATAACGCTTTTCGCTACCTAGAGGCGCTACACGTCTTGAATTTGTCATTTGCCCCATTGAAAATATCCACTATAAGTCAATTCACAAATACCTCATCTCTCACCAAGCTGATTATGCGTGAGAATAGTCTGAGGAGTACAGATATGTACAACGTCATAACTAAAAGCTCTCTGTTTCGGGGCCTAGTCTCTTTGGAGAGACTGGATCTAAGACAGAATAAGCTTGATATGTTAGCTCCAGGTACTTTCAACCCGCTGAAGAACCTCAAGATACTTTACCTGTCGCAGTCTTCTATAACAGTTTTGAGCCGTGGTGTCTTTGACAGCCTGACTGCCCTCACGACATTGGACCTTCGCAACAATGAGATCAAGAAGATTCCTGAATGTCTGCTTCAAACGCAATACCATCTTGCCGTTCTATTTTTGAGCAACAATGAACTTGAAACCATTCCAAGGACACTATTCAATGAAACCACCTCTCTGCACAGTTTGTTCATCCAGCAAAACAAAATTGCTACCATAGAACCACAGACGATGTTCCCAACAAACACGACACTGAAATTGGATGCTTATGGGAACCCCTTTTCCTGTACGTGCCACTTGAGTTGGTTCGTAAAGTGGCTCCGTTCTGGCAAGGTTGAACTCTTAAATGTAGAGAAGACTTTCTGCTCGCTAACGTCCATCAAAGAAGAAGTCAATTTACCTTTACTTTCATTCAATCCTGACCAATACTGTGGCACTGACATTGTGATGATCACATGTGTATCCTTGTCAGTTGTTTTGGTCGTGGCGATTTGCTTGGTGGCTTACAGGGAGCGATGGTGGCTAAATTACAAATTATTCCTCCTCAAGCTAGCTATCTTTGGCTACGAGGAAATCAACCAGGACTTTGACGCCCAGGACTACGAGTACCAGCTAAACATCATGTGCAATGAAGGTGACGAGGAATGGGTGGACCAGATCATGAAACCAATACTGCAGGAGAGGTTTCCACATCTGCAGAAAGTGGTCTTCGGCGACAACGACCTCAACATCGGGATGTTCTACATCAATGCTCTCCACTACGCCACCGAGAACAGCTTCAAGACTGTCTTGTTGATAAGTTACAACTCCGTAGATGATGCCTGGTTCTTGACCAAGCTGCGTATAGCTCTAGAGCACGTCAATGACACCAGACTGGACAAGGTAATATTGATTTTCATTGAGGACATCCAGGATGAGGACCTCCCGTACCTGGTTCGGTTATTCCTGAGTAAGAACAAACCTTACATGTTGTGGACGGACGATGAAGATGGTCAGGAACTCTTCTGGGCCCAGTTTGAGAAGAGCATGAGAGCCAACAGGGCCCTCAACAGCGTTATTCCCATTTAAGAAAATGAGTAATCTCTGATTATACAGACTATTGTTAAGATGCAAATTGACCATCCCAAAATCAACTACACTTATTCTCGTTTAACAAGAATATTTTCACAACTAATTTAGAAAATTAGGAATCTCTGGTTATGCCGACTATCTTTAAGTCGCAAAGTTAGAAATCAAACTAATCACTTTTCATTAGAGTTATTCCTATTTAGCTTAAAAGCAAGAAGCAGTAAAAACACTATTGAAACAGAGTATTAAACAAAATCATAGGATAAATACTTCCAATAGTAAGTATTGACGAGAAAAAAATCCCTTTACAAGCGATCAACGGTAATATGTTCTTGTGAGAAAAGAAAAGGATCATAATTGTCGTGAGTGAACTTCCAATAAAGGAAAGTGTAGACGTTGTGTATAGTTTCTACTTCATCGTTTTATTGTGTCATCAGACGAATTGCAATATCAAATTCCCCCCCCCCCCCCTACAAAATAGTCGGGACGACTGGGGAGATGTGGGAAGTTGGACATTTTGACCTGTATGTTATCTAAGTGTGTGTCCCTTTTTTAATGATCTTTAAGACAGGTGGTAGTTCTACGAATTGCAACTTCCGACATAACCATTGAAAATATATACATTTAGCAATTTGATTATGTTCAGGTCCTGGGGGATTTTTAAAAACTTGACCATAATTATGTTGCATAGGTCATGTCCTTTGCAACCCACTTATAATCACATAAAGGAATAACAAGTATGTAATTATTATCTCCTGCTAGTACATCCTTTCACTTAATGTACATAAACGAACGCAACATAACTCTGCTGTATTGTCATTATGTTACTGATTTACTTACTATGTTTTGTAATACTATTGTACATGTTATACATCACTGTGCCTCTGTAAATTGACCCTTTCAGACTTGTGCTGCTGGTTGATCATTATATACCGATAAATAAAATAAATAAATAAATAAATAAATATTTTTTTCTTTTCTTCAAATTTGAGAATTGAAGATACTATGTCCCTTTTGCAGCCAACATCAAATTCTGTAGAACTGTGCAAGAATTATGAATATGTCATGTTTGTCTTATCTGTGAAATTTAAACGTTAGCAGTGTCCTAATGTTCAAATTACGCAAGGAAACCCGTTTACTTGCCAGACTTCACTGTCAGACACTTTTGAGTGACTGACTGGCTTTTTTCTTCTTTGGTAATAACATACATAAAATGAGCTGTAAAGGGTACATGAGCATTTGTTTACATCAATAAATCACTTCTTGTAATGGCCAAAATTAAACTGATTGAATCTTTGCGCAGCATAAAACGTACGACCATTCGGTACAATGGTCTGAACATCAGACTATTACTTACTGGGTCTATAGCTCTTAAGTCGATTCGACAACTAATAGTCGTTATTTTCCCACTTAAAGACATCTTTAAGCCCCCTTTTTTAAGGGAAGTTCTAAATAAGTATTATCTTTCAAATGCCGTTGGATTCAAACCTTTTCATCTTTTTGGCCTGTAAATGGGACATAGTACCTTTAAGAAAAACATTAATTTACGGCAGGTGCTGACTACGCGACACGTCTTTGTTTGTAATTATGTGTCCGCTCTTACAACAATCCTTGATAATTTCTGCTTAATTGATCATTCTAGATCCATAGATATCAAAGGGATGGCACACACTATGCCAATCCACGATACCAACATAATCAATGACCTAACATTATTTCACTTAAAGATAAACTCCAGTACTGGTAAAAAAAAAAAAAAAATTCTCACAGAATTAAACGAAACTTACACTGAATGTTCAAGATTACAAATAAATGACATGTGCCAAACAATTTTGGAAGAAAATGTATACTGGCTGAGTAATGAGTATAGAAAGACAAGGAAATCAAGGTAGTACTAGCCCCGACACCATGTGTGTTGTCCCATATATAGCTTTCTACGTGAGTGCTTGTTACTTTACCAAGACTCGGTCAAATTTATTATGATTTTGATGACTCCAGAACCTTGCAGTGCACACCAATACTTACATGCTACATGATCAACTGTTTCTGATCCTTTCCACACCTTTTCTTTCACAATGCAATCGCATTACCAGTACTAAAGTTTATCTTTAACCGCATTTATTTATAAGTCGTGCTTTTAATTATTAGTTTTATTTGGCATGTTTGAAATGTATTAAACCTAATTATAATTGAATCTATGTCTGTATCCGTTTTTTCGTCCGCACATTATTATGTACTAGTTATGTTACCCTGCCTGAGGAACTTACACTTTCACTTGTAAACCTCGGTCCTGGGTTGTTTATGGTCGATCTATATTTGAATTTTGATTGATTTTACAGTAAAAATTTATTAATACAAATGGACAATTAATCCATGAAAACTGAGCTTCTCGGTCTTCTAACAGGAGAGGAGTTCTCAAAAAGTATTTTTTGTTAATATACGTGTATACTTGCGCTAAAGATGCATAGTAGTGGGTTTTCATGGGGAATTTGACACCATCCTGGTGTTTACCCAATAACAGGTGTTGTCAATCACCACGAGTAGACTTCACTCTAATACGACATACAGGTCTTAGGTAATGCAATGCGCCCTATATACCACCGTTTGAAATTCTCATCATACACATCAAATTTCCCTCACCCTTGAGATATATAGGCAAGTTAAAATATTTTCGGGAGGGACCAAGGGTCCGCTGCTTTAGAAAAATTAATTGGTAATTCAACCAAATCTAGTCTCAGCGAATTATGCTGCAATACACATGGATACTGACTGCTACGTGGCTTTAAAACAATTCTATTCTGTTGGTCTGTATAAGCTAAGGTAACATAATGTTGAAGGAATCGAAATTGATTATTTTAAATTATCTATGTAATAAAATGTACATTGCATAACATTTAAAGGAGTTGATGTAAATGGTAATTCATTTCGACATTAACAAATATGAAGTAATCTCTTTTCATTTATATGTTTTTAATAAAATGAGCCTCATTTAAAAGGAAATGAACATTTCAAAGAAAGTTCCGTGTATATACATGCTAAAAGCATAGTGTACATGTACACTGTTGGTCATAAAAGTGCAATAATTCTTTTTTACCTCAATTTAGGGAATGATTTTAGGGAATGATTTCGACAATGATTTATTCCTAATAGATCTAGATAATAGTATGCATTCTCAAATTTTACCAAATAATAAGTTGTTAGTGTTTGTTTTCAAACCATAAATTGGGATAAATAAAATTATTCCACCTGTATGACCAACAGGGTATACAGTATATCTGAACTACAGAACACGTAGTGATAAAATTTAGAAGTTACAGTGCCTTTCAGTAACCAGTTTATCAATGTAAGTTTATTTAACCATAAAATGAAACATGTACATACAAATGAGTAACATAGTAAACATAATACGGTAAAGGACACCCTTAGAAGCAAATTGCTTGTGGTGGGGCCTTAACAAGAAAAAACAAACTACACATAAATTATACGGTTTAAAAACTTTAAAATAACATGATACAAACACACATGCACGCTCACGCATATACATACACACATACATTTAAAATATCCTCCTCTGCTCAAACTTGTTTACATAAATCATTAAATAATAACTGTGTACATCGTACTTTAAATCGAGATAGAGTTGTACTTTCCTTAATATCATTACTCAACTTATTCCATTCCTTAATGCCATTTAAAGGTAAAGACCAGTATTGCAAACGCCCCAATTTCAAAAAAATGAAATGGAAGCTCTCATTACCAATCATGTGAAAGAATATGTTTTGACTAATACATGATGATAAAAAATTTGCCGGGAAACCGCCTACTAATTCATATATTTGGTAAATTTGTTTCTCTCATGGACTGTGAGAGATATAGGGTAGTCCCATATACATCTTTCTGTGTATAGTGCTTGTAACTTTACGAAGAATGGGCCAAATTTCTTATCATTTTGATGATTCCAGAACCTTGCAGATGCTAGATGCTAGGTGATCAACCTTTTCTGATCGATTCCACAACGTTTCTTTCACAATGCAATCGCATGGCCATAACTGGTCTTTACCTTTAAATAGAAAGAATTTTGTGCATTTTTCGTACGAACTTTAAATAAATGTAAATCATTTTTCTGACGAGTAGAATACGAGTGAATATCACTATTAATAACAAAGTTTATATTAGGAATTTCTGGCAATAGGCGATTTTGAAATTTAAACATAAATATGCGAGTATTAAACTGAATCAATTCAAAAATTGGGACAACGTGTGTTTTAACAAAAAGTGGCCGTGATGGGGCTAAATAATCAGATTTAGTAATAATACGCACGGCTCGTTTCTGTAACAAATAAATATTATCTATATATGATGCATAAGTGTGTACATCGACTGTATATTCAACAATGATGTGTAATCGTCCATGACCTAGCATCGTTTTTCCAGTCATGAATGAACCTGCATTCAATCAGCAGATGTATGAGATTTACTGTATTATTACCAACGCTCCTCCTCCTCCTCCTTCTCTCCCCTTTCCTTTTCTTTTCTGCAAGTCACTCTTTTTTATTTTTATTTTGTATTGTTGTATCTAAGTTGAGGGCTGCCGGCACGTCAAGCTACTTTGCTTATTTCTGTAGCCCTCCTGCATCTAATGTATGTTAATTATGCATTCAATGTATATGTTTAAATTCAATATATTTGTTTAATATCGTTTATTATCTGTATAAAATTATATACACTTGAAATATTGTATTAAGCCATATTTTTTTATGTTCATGAAAATGTATGATGAAAAAAAGAAAAAAGATGCAGAAACCAATAAATCAAATCAAATCAAATCAAAATAAGTATTTCCCCAAAGAATATTACAATAATTTACATGTGGAAAAATCATACTATTATACAACATTAGCAAAATATTTTATTTTTTTTATTTTTTTTTATCAAGAAACTAATCTGAAATACAAAACTTGGCTCCTACAACATTAAGTCGAAGATATGCAAAGCTCGTATTTAAAATGAACATATTTTTTGGTTATTAGTCTGGGTATGAAGTATTGAAATGCTTGAATTGTATAATTTTTAAAATGTACAAATATAGTTAACAACTGCATTATTCATACCACTTGTAAATATGATGTTTGTGTATTTTTCATAATTCAAGAATGAAAGGTGGATAGGTTGAAAAAGGGTATTTGTTGAATACTTTCAGATGTAAGCTTCGATACGTCACATTCTCAAGAAAGGGAGGTTGGGACAAATAATTTTTTGTATACTTAAAAATAACAGAACTTGGTAAGAATACTTTATTATTTAACTGTAAATGTATAGCATCACAATAAATCAGATATAAATTGCAAGATGATTAAAAGCCTTTTAAAGATTTTTTCTGTAAATAAAGCACAAGTATTTGGATACCAGCAACATATGCCTACACCTATCTTGTTATCATTGTAGTTCTATCAGAGAACGCGGTGGGAAGAGCCTATCAGAAGTTGTCTCTAAAAGATCTGCCATTTTGTCATTGACATTTAAGCTAGACTTAGCCATCCTGAAATATTCGTTTTGTGAAGATGCTTCCCCTATCTTAGTTCGCCTAAGTCAAAACGGGCAACAAAGCATACCGTAGCTAAATGCATGATTTTAGTTCTGTATTTCGGTTTTAGGGTTTTCACTTATTTTCTGAACTTCATTATCTATACATGTGAACAAATTTCATACACAAAATCCAAACTATTGTTTCCATTATTCACTTCAAGTCAATTATGCCCTAAGAAATATCGATAACTTAGTCTTGCCCAAACCTAAAACTAATTATTGTAAACGAACATTTTTTTATCGCGGATCTAAATTATATAATGAATTACCGATTAACTTACGTAGACCGAACACACTCAATTTATTTCGACAGGGCCTAAATGAATGGATGCTAGATTTTGATGTATAAACTTTTGGTGTAAACGGGGAGGGGGAGGGATGGTAATAATCGTATTCATAATGTGTTATAGAGGGTTTGGGAGGGGGTTGTAGATAGTGCGTTTGTAATATTATATTTTTGTAATATTTTGTGTTTTATTTCTATGTTTGATTATTTCTGGACCTCTAGGAAGAACAGAGCCATTTTAATAATGGCTCTGAATAGAGCTTTCCAGCCGTTTTTTTTAAATTCTTGATTTGTATTATTTGTAAATTGTATTCTTGTATGTATTGAATTTTTATACGGAAAATAAAACCAAACCAAACCAAAACTTCCGTTTATATATGTCTGTATGTGTTTTCTCGTATATTTTTTTGGCGAGGAATGTTTGTACCAAAACGGAAAGAAGTAATACCCAACTTTGGACATGCTTACACTTCAAATAGTTTTCCATTGTAATTTTAAAGGTAATGCAAAGTTTTGGGAAGTTTTCAAAATTGGATGGATAGTAATTCTTTAAAATGTTGACATATTTGAATGCCCCTATGGATGAATTATAAGCACTAGAAAATTTAGCCTCTAATGCCTCAGTCACACCTTTGCGTATTGGGCTTGCGTATTGCTGCGTATTGCCCGAACGCAGACATAGGCAGTCATACCCAATAAAGCGCAACGAAACGTGCTCACTGCGTACTCAATACACAGACTATAGCGCAAAGGCCTGCGTTTGCCACTCGCTAGTTTTAAAATTTTCTAAACTATCGCAAGCAAACGCAAGGTCAAATCACCTACGAGCGGATACGAGTGGCAACCAGTGAATGCGAGCAGCAGCGAGTGGCTTAGCGCAAGTATACGCAGCCATACACACCTCTTTTTTTTGGAGCGCGTGTCACTGCCTATAGCTATGGAAAGCCGTTGGAGACTTTATTCACATGCCCCAGACGTATGGAACGCGGCACACGTCTGCTAAATTGACCAATCACCGCCTGTTATTTAGAAGGCGCGTGCAAGGTGCGATAGCAAACGCCTGTTACTTTATTAGCACACGTGTGCCTTTTTCCAGACGGATGCTGTTTACTGCGCATGCGTCTGGAATTAATCGACCAATCAGATACCTTGTTTAATATGGAGTTTAATGTGTGTGTAGGGTGAGTGCATGCAGCGCAGACAAGCAAAAATGTGATCGACGCACGTGGTACTCTTATCGTTCTTAAAAGTATTGACTTTGATTTCTATGTCAGAAAAGAAGTATACATTGTAAGAGTACTTTCATTGAGGTTGGAACTTTCTGATGCAAAGAATAGTATGTCAAATTATAAACGAGGTACCGAACTGCATGCTATATGAACGTTTATCCTCCACCTAGTATTGGAGTTTGTAAATACTATAAAGCTAGTCTAGGGTTGATAAAGAAAAGGTAAGTCTAATATCATGAATGGTAGTTTCTAGATTTACAATCTATCATTCAGAACCTACTCTAATTGCAAATTAGGTGATATACTATGTGTGACTGTCTGTGAGGCGAAACGCTGAATAACTACAACGACTCAGGTTTTTACGGGAGTGTCAGTTTATTTTAGAGTCATAACCATCAAGGGGAATGCAACTCTGTCTTTGATGAACGAATCTTTTATCTTAATACTCCTTCCACTGCTTTATTCCGTTCTTCTTCCCTTCACTCCGTGAAAACTGTACATGATAAAGCATAACAGGAATGCATAATAAGTACGTGTTTATGAATATAAGTTTCACAACATTAAAGCAACTATAGCATTCTACTAAATCAAAGGCATTGTCTGAATTCAGTGTCTAACTCTCTTTGAATTTCATATAGAAACACACAATTAAACTTACATCATCTTTATCATGTCTAAATCAGATCTAACATGGTTTCAACTAATAATGTGACTATATTTAACGAGCTTGAATGACTTTATCATAGTCAAGGAATACAATAACAAAGTCATGACCTTGACCTGTCATTCACACAGATATGCTCACATTCCTCATCCAATTTCATCATAGAATGTCTTCTTCTGCATCATACGTTTAACTTTACTATTTCTTTCAACTTTAAGCTAAACCAAAACATCAATTATAGATGTAATGACATATTAAATGTTCAATAGATATCTCTAGTCTATCCTATGTGTGGGTACACAGTATACACATGTTATACATTTGCCATACAAATTACTGTGCTACTGTGTAAGTTTCATACAATGTAAACATCTTAAAAACTACCTTTTTTACATTCATTTTCATAATGCTCAAATATATGGTTTAACTAACCTCTGTGCCTCCATAATACTGTAGAAACAGCTCTCAGGAACAAAGGATGCTCCAGAAAACCACAGATTTTCCTCACAAAACAGAAATCATGTTGCAAACATGATCATTTCAAATCAGCCAACAACAGGTGGCGCCAAACAAGTTTCTGACCTTCAAACTAGAAAAACTTTAAATAAGAACTGTCAAAGTAATCTTTGACCAAATGCCCTCTGTTGTTCTATTATTGCAATGTCAAGCTAAATCAATAAATACTAAATAAAATGACTTTAGCTAGCAAATACAAAATTACAACTTTCACATGGCTCCTTTAAATTAGATACTAATTTACCAAACAATACGAGTTGTAAAATTAACTTTCTTCGTTATCAAACTATAATGTGCCTTTAAGTCTCTGTTTAGCGGACTAAGTGCTATAATCATGAAGTGGATGATTTACGTCATACACTATTATACCATTTCAAATCTAATGCATAGCTTGTAAAACTTTGTCACTATACTACCATTACAATAAACAAGCATATATGCAATTCTGTCTAAATACCTAAGTACCTAGCAAGGCATAAGAACGTTGATATACATGCAATATAAATTCTACAATGTCAATCAAATGATCAATGTATAGCATGGAACTCAAACTTGTCCAAAAATGATTGCCTAAATCATTGCTAACAAACACTTTCTGCCAGGAAAAACCAAGCTATTTTCATACAGAAAGAGTCCGTTATTTTAAACAACCCAAAAAATGGAACCCTTTTTCCAGCCAATTTTGCGGCATTCCCCTAGTGCTATAAATTGAACATACTTGTTCACATAACATGTTGTGCATAGAGAATTTCCAAAAGAATAACTGCCTTTTGTTTCTTACTAGCGACTGTGATTTTAGACCATAGAGATATATACTTAATAAGGCTAGAGTGCGGACTCGTCATACGCGCCCGTTCAAAGCTCTGTGCGCGCATGGAGCGCGGTCCGCCATTACTAAGGAGGGCACAACTTCGAGAAATACCCGGATGTTCCCTTCGAAACTGTGCTACTGATATGCAATGTGAAGCTTCATTTTTCGGGTTGATTTATCGGTTTTCGAGTATGAAACGTTATAATTGTGGTATTTTGCATAATGCATGAACCCTACTCATGCCTCAGTCATGGTATCTGGTATAGGTCAAGATTAATTACGGATGTTATGGTGAGGTAAAAGGGACACAAAAAGCTATTTATATTTCAGTATATCTTCAATTTGTCTTCCTCTTTGTCAATATAAAACTGCGATAATATGACATTAAATATTACTTGGCTTTCAACCAATCAGAATCAAGCATTTGGGACTTGTATTTGATATTTATGTCATGATATTAAACAAAGTTTTATGCTACAGGGCCAATGCCGGGGGCCAATGTCTTTCTAATTCAGTTATTATGAGAGCCAGGGTTTATTGATTTAAAATGCTTTAAAGGTAATATATTCGTTTTATGTTTATAACTATTATAAACAGATTGATACTTATAGATTTGGGATAGAGATGGGTATGTAGATAGCTAGACACATAAATAGATGGATAGATAGATATAATATAGAAGGATAGGTAGATAATGGAAATGCAGATAAAGGACGATACTGAAGATAGGAAGAGGGGGAAGGAAAGAATTATAGGCCTACACATTTATTTAAAAAAATTATGTTATTTACTCATCCAATCATTCATCCATCCATCCAAACATTCTTTTTCTTCTTCTCTCACTCATTTTATATCAAATTCACACCTTATGTCTTTCACCCATTCTCTATAAAATCTCTATTTTTGTCTGAAAGAGTAATTCAATTTTTTACAGTTCACTATAAATATATATGAATATTCTTTAAAAACAGCTGATCATTGATGTAATAATTATTTATTCACACCACTTTTTTTCTCCATAAATAATATTCTCCTTGATACAGTGTATTTCTTATTTTCTTCATCAACCAGTTTTAGAGAATAAACTTATAATTAAATTTGAAGAAAAAAATGAATAAATGAACCTTTTATTACCACACGGCACACGTGTGTTGATATTCTACAGCATAGGCATTTAAGTTTTGACATTTTATCGGACATAATATACTGCAATAATACATCACAATTGAAAGGACAGACATTGCAAAAACAACACCTCAGATTTTAGCCCCAAATTTACTGTCACGGATCATAGGCAACACAACCACAACAAATTGATTCGTCACCAAAGACAAGCATTACACATCCCAAAACCGCCACAATAACTCCCAAAACATAAATGTCAGGAGGCCAATGTCTATGTGTCAAGATGTCAGCGATAACGAACACTTTATTAACTAGTCTTGGCTCCAAGTGCACGCAGGCGCGTCACATTTACTAATAATACAAAGACATTTCATCGAGTAATAAATGCAAACCAGAAATAGTAATTGAGCATATATATTCCAAGTCACCTGTATTGCTATGAAGAACTATAATTGAAGGGACTTACATCTCAGGATACTGCACTACACTATTCAGTGAAACCTCATAGTAACATGGTCTTTTGACATCATTATTCATCAGGTATAATAATAAATTTGAAACTGATTACCCTCAAATGTACACAGTAGATACAACAAGCCAAAGAGTGCACAATCTTATGGGTTTACATCTAGTGACATTATTCCATATAATTTTTCTGTTATCAAATCTCTTCAAAAGCAGTTTTCCATTTTGGAACAAAATTCAAACCTATGTACAAAACATACATATCCATACTGTACTTGTAGAATCAAAGCACATGTAGAGTGCAAATAATTTGCAAAAATTATAGCAACTGAATCAGATACAGCAGGTACAATCATGAAGCTTATAGAGTAAATATTCAAATACAGTGTACCTCACAACAACTCAAAATTCAAGTACAACTCTTCTAAGTTCCACTTTAGTTTGCCTTCGTGTAAAGTTAACAAACAGAAAATTATGGTTAGGTTGTGCAACTGTCACAATGTGTCCCAAAATTTTTATTTCATTACACAGAACAAAAGTCTCAGATTGTTCTGTTTTTTTAAAAGATTATTGAAAGCTCTCTCCAGTTTTAAACAGCTTCACAGTCAATCATCCAGTGGATAAGCTATGCAGACAAGAGGCAAAATATAAAAGACCGATCTGTCTTTGTAGTTTGTACGAATGAAGTTCTATGTTTTGTTTTGTTTTTCCTGAAAATGCGTTCTCTCCAAAGTTGTGTTGAAGTAGGTCAAGCTGATCCTGGCTAATGAGCTTGCTTTCGTGGACTTCCTGCAAGAGAGTCCTGGTTTTTCCATCTCTCCTGTTTACCTTGTTTCACCACTTTAAGCTGTTTCTTGGCATCCTGCACTTGCTGTCTGGTTATATTCAGTTTCTAATCAACTCAGACAGAAAAAGAATAGTCATGTTCTTTTGTAATGTCATAGGGTTTCTTTGGAGGCACGGGAACACTTTCGGATGTTGTACATGGTTTTGCTTAGCTTCTTGTCGAAGCCCTCGCGCTGTTGGAGTCTCTAAATTCTGACGAGCGAAGCGAGTCAGAGAAACCGAGGCGCTTGCGCGGAGGGCCTCTTGACAAGTGATCTGAATTATATATTCATGAGACCCGATTTCCTACTGAATTATGCATGTCTAGACCCCAGCGATTGTGTGTGTGTACGTGTGTGTTCGGGATTGCCCAACTAGGCTAGTCTGCAAGCACAAACCCTAATTTGACACTTTATCAAAAAATCATTGTGCCTTGAGAAAAGCCTAGCCCAGCTATCTACTGGTACCTACTGGTTGTACCAATATAGGTCAGGAGCAGCTATAGTACGTGGCATATGGTAGTCTTATAGTGCACACTCTCTTTTACGACTGACCAGGGTTTGTGCTTGCAGACTACAACTAGGCGGCCAGTGTCGCTCTCACGGAGGGAATTCGCACAGAGCGGTAGATATTACGTCATAGTAGCTCTCTCTGATTGGATGACTTTCACCGAACTCTGCTGGGTCGGAATATTCGCCAAACAATGTAAAACATAAGAAATTCAGATCACTTGTCAAGAGGCCCTCAGCGCAAGCGCCTCGGTTTCTCTGACTCGCTTCGCTCGTCAGAATTTAGAGACTCCAACAGCGCGAGGGCATCGACAAGAGGCTAGGTTTTGCTGGGAGTCTTGAGCCATGGGTCTGTTTATAGGGAGGATGTCCAGGAAAGACAGTAGGCACAGCTCTAGGAATGAGATGTGGTGTGTAACATCCTTTCCTCTCTTGAGTGTATTCCTGCATTACAATAAAAGCAAATGGAAACAATGAGTTTTTTCTCATAACATGACAATTGTTCTACTATTCATGCTATTTCATGTGATTTTTAAGACTGAAACTGAAAGCAGCTTCCAGCCAAATAAATAAAATAATAATAATGTTAGCAAGTCATAAGCAAATTTGATAGAAATAGTGTAGTGTGTGGTGGGATTTTTAGGCTTGCCTAGCCTAGTTGGATAACTCCTGTGATGTGAAATATGGCAGGCTAGCCTGGCTTAGACCAAAAGCTTCAGTCTCTCTATATCGTCGGTTGTTCTACTGAGACTGTGTCTGGCTCCACTAGACCTCTGATTATATTATGGGGAATGTCAACAAATGTCAGTTTTATTAAAGAAATGACCCATATCAGACGGTTATTTCTGTCTAACCTGGCTTTGCCTTTCAGGCTTTAGAAATTAGAGACTAGAGTTTAGATCTAGAGTCTAGAGTCTAGATCTAGATCTAGAGTCTAGTCTAGACTCTAGTTAAAATAGGTCTAGAATCTATAAAGAAGCTGACATTTGGTTTTTATCTTGAAATTAGATAAGATAAAATTAATTATATCATTTTATTCTAGACTTTTCTTTAATAGAATCAAGCTCATGGAGTTATATTTCCGAGTTGGACTCTATGACTCTTGGAGTTGCGAGCGACTCCAGCGCAGCAGAATTTTCCCATCACCATCCCCAGAACCTTAACCCATGCCTGCCCCAGCCCGGCGGGCGTGGACTGGCGCGCTCCGCTCCTGCAGGAGCTGCCGTGGCTTGTCATGAGACAACCCGGGTACAGACTACAGTCACTGCATAAAGTTTAAACTACATTTTTAGCTCTAAAATCTCCTTATTAATCAACATAACATTAAGAAGAACTTACTTGTGAAATATTATGCAGTTCCCTTTCTTTCTTCGGTTTGAACATCCAAATGCAACGCACGAACCTGGCTTCTCCAATTTTTTCCACGTATGTTGTGCACAGTATCTTGTTGAGTCGTCCGTTTTTCTGCCCTCCTTAGTAATGGCGGCCACCGCTCCAGCTCGGAGCAGCAATTTGAGCGAGTACGCCCTCTAGTGTTTAGTAGTATACATCTCTATGTTTTAGACTTAACCAATAATACTCGACTAGTCTTGCTTCAGTCCTTTACTACAAATTTGTTACTAGACTCAGTTTCAGACTTTACCAAATAAATTTGTCTTCATCAAAAATCAAATTGTCCATCAAATTAAGAACATAAAAGTAGTCTTGCTTTAAGACTCTATGAATAAATGTTCTTCTCTGTGCTAGTCTTTTACTCAAACCCTAAATTCAATATAATTAGTCTTTACAAAGTCCATAAATGTCTAGATTATGACTTTCTGCCGTAAACACAAGTTCCATAAACCTCCAGTTCCTTAGAGTTCAAATGAGGTAATTTAAATGAGTTCCAAATCTCATAATTTAACTTTCAAAATGTAAATTCCCTTGTTTGTTACTACACTGTTGGTCATAATGGTGGAATATTTATTTTTACCCCAGTTTAGGGAAGGATTTTTAAAAATTATTTATTTCTAATAGATCTAAATAATGGCATACATTCTCAGATTTTATTGAATATTAAATTGCGAGTGTTTGTTTTGCGTGACTGCTATATCATATGTGTGCTACTATGCTAATCAGCTAGGGAACCTACGTCCTTAAATCATAATTGACAGTAATGAGGATTAATGCCTCACAAAAGGGCACTAATATAGCTGATCAGCACGATTTTTATCCTGGGGCCTCACAGTAACGAGGCTATTGCTTAGCCCCTGAATCATGACTGTACGCAGTGTTTGCTAGGGTACGCGGCCCCTTCGACAAATCCCCCCAAACGAAGAAAATGCAATAAATTGTCAAAAATTCATTGCATTTTCCCCCGGCCCCCTACAGGAAAAATTCCTCTGTGTGGCCATGCCTTGAACCATAATGCATGGCCCTACAGAGGAATTTTTCCTGTAGGGGGCCGGGGGAAAATGCAATAAATTTTTGACAATTTATTGCATTTTCTTCGTTTTGGGGGATTTGTGGAAGGGGCCGCGTACCCTAGCAAACACTGCGTACAGTCATGATTCAGGGGCTAAGCAGTGGCCTCGTTACTGTGAGGCCCCAGGATAAAAATCGTATCGATCAGCTATATATTAGTGCCCTTTTGTGAGGCATTAATCCTCATTACTGTCAATTATGACTTAAGGACGTAGGTCCCTTAGCTGATTAGCATAGTAGCACACATATGATTAAGCAGTCACGCAAAACAAACACTCGCAAATTAATATTCAATAAAATCTGAGAATGTATGCCATTATTTAGATCTATTAGAAATAAATAATTTTTAAAAATCCTTCCCTAAACTGGGGTAAAAATAAATATTCCACCATTATGACCAACAGTGTATAAATGTTCTTGGCTCCTTGGCTGGGAATTACACTTGGTCTTGTTGCGGTACTAATAGAACCAATTTGTGAATAGGGCGGTCAAGGTAAGAGAGTGGAGAGGTTCGCTTTCCATGTCTATTTAGTTTTGGATCACCCACTGCGACCTTGACCTTCCGGACATGGCCGTCATCAGACGCGAACACTTTAGCAATTCTTCCCAGCGGCCACGAGTTTCTAGGAATGTTTTCGTCCTTCATCAGAACGATGTCGTCTACCTTCATGTTGCGCTGTGGCTTCGTCCATTTGTGTCGTGACTGTAGTTGGCTCAGGAATTCTTTTCTCCATCGAGACCAGAACTCGTTGGCTAGATGTTGTACTCTTCTCCATCGCTTCTTGGCGTACACATCTTCTCGTGGAAAGTTACCTGGCGGCGGTAATATCACCCTTGATTTCTGAGTCAGCAGGTGATTTGGAGTTAGCGGTTCTAGATGAGTCGGCTCGTTGAGGTGCTCTGCCGTGAGGGGGCGACTGTTCACGATAGCTGCTGCCTCACAGAGCAAAGTGCGAAGAGAGTCGTCATCCAGTTGCTGGCCGTTGTGATACAGTAATGCGTCAAGTACTCTGCGAACCGAACCGATCTGTCGTTCCCAGACCCCTCCCATGTGACTTGACGAGGGGAAGTTGAAGGTGAAATCAAAGTAATCACAATGTTCTTTGATCAAATGATCTTTCACCTTCTCGTGGTCCATCTCCTTCCAGGCCTTCTTGAACTCGTTCTCAGCGCCAACAAAGTTAGTCCCTCTGTCGGATCTCAGCTGACGAATGGGACCACGTACTGAGATGAATCTACGAAGTCCGTTGATGAAGGAGTCAGTGCTCATGGAGTTCAACGTTTCGATGTGAATCGCTCGTGACGCCATACAGGTAAAAAGGAGACCATACCTTTTCACCTCTTTTCTGCCTTCCTTTATGATCCAGGGTCCAAAACAGTCCATACCACTGTAGCTGAATGGTGGAGCTGGTTCTAACCTGTCTCGTGGCAGATCTGACATCTTTTGTGACTGTGTTGCACTTCGCAATCTTTTACAGGTTACGCACTTCCCAATCAGCTTGGACACTGCTGTACTGCAACCGATGATCCAAAAGCCATTACCTCGGAGTTCATTTATAGTCATACCCCGTCCAAGGTGAGATATCTGATGGCAGTGACGGATGATCAACTCAGTCACATGGTGTTTTTGAGGTAAGATGGCAGGATGGATGACCTCAAATGAACCCTCTGATCGCCTTAATCGTCCTCCAACCCGTAGAACTCCCCTTTCATCCACAAAGGGGTCTAGTTTATACAGGTGACTGGCCCTTTTCATGCTCCGTTTGTAATCTCTGGTGTGGTTTGTTCCTGGTATTTTTGAGATTGGTGCATCTCGCAGTCTCTGCATCTCCTCAGGAAAGCAATGTTCTTGAACCAACCTCAAGATGTCATTTTGGGCTTGATTCAAATCTTCCACACACAGTGGTTTGGTGGCAGACTGTGAACGCTGTTTGCATCTCTTTCTCAGTTCAGCTTTGAATCTCCCACAGTTTGCTACCGCTCTCTTTGCTTGATACCAGGAAGAAAACCTCTCCAGTCGTTCCAAGTCAAACGTAGTGACTACAGATGTGGCAGACACACACGATTTCTTCACTTCTGGGTCATCTTCAGGTACATCATAACTTTTTCCTTCATGAATTGGAAGAGATCTCTTTGACAGGAAAGCTGGACCCTTTAACCAGTTTGACTCCATCAACTGCTCGACAGTAGCACCCCTGGATGCAAGATCAGCTGGATTGCTTTTTGTGTCCACGTGTCTCCATTGTGATGAGCTTGACCGATCCTTTATCTGGCTGATCCTGTTGGCTACGAAAACTTGAAATCTCCTTTCATTGTTGTTTACGTATCCCATCACCACATTGCTGTCTGTCCAGAAATAATTCTCAGCTTCAAGTGCACTAAGTTCTTTCTCCAAAAAGGAGCTGATCTTTGTGGATACAACTGCGGCCATAAGTTCCAGTCTTGGAATGGTGACATGCTTTATGGGCGCAACTCGAGATTTCCCCATCACTAGTGTTGTGTGCACTGACCCGTCAACGTCCTGCAGTCTGAGGTAAGTGCAGTTTCCGTATCCTATGGTGCTGGCATCAGAAAAGTGATGAAGCTGTGCAGATTTCACTTCCTTGAATTCCACTGGTTTGTAGCATCTGGGAATCGACACATTTTGAAGACAAATGACATCTTGTCTCCATTTTCCCCATCTCATTTTCATCTCATCCGTCAGTGGATCATCCCAGTCAGCACCTTCTCTGCACAATTCCTGAACAATCTGTCTGCCTCTCAATGTCACTGGAGCAATGAGTCCAAGAGGATCGTAGAGTGACATGACTGTTGAAAGCACTCCTCTTCTGGTGCATGGCTTGTCAGCAAATGTGATGCGAAAGTTGAAGGAATCTGATGCTATGCACCACTGCAGACCAAGGGCTCGTTCAATCGGCAGCTCATCATGAAGTAGATTGAGTTCTTTCACACTCTTGGCTCGATCTTCTATTGGTACTGCCTGCATTACCTCTCTCGAGTTGGAAACAATCTTGTGCAGGTGCAGTTTTCCTTCCTTGCAGAGCACTCTAGTCTGTATGATCAAGTCGACTGCCTCCGCTGATGTGGGAACAGAGATCAAACCATCGTCAACGTAGAAGTCATTGTGTACGAAGTTTGCTGCAGCTTCACCGTATTTATCTTTGTGGTCCGTTGCAGTTTTCTTTAGTCCATAATTCGCACACCCTGGTGATGAGGCAGCCCCAAACAAGTGTACCTTCATTCTATAGTGATGAACTGGTTGCTGATAATCACCATCGGGCCACCACAGGAATCTCAGGTAGTCTCGGTGTTCCTTGTTGACTTGGAATTGATGAAACATTTCTTTCACATCACACATGAAGGCTACCTTTTCCATCCGGAATCTGCACAAGACACCAGCCAGTGCATTTGTCATATCCGGTCCTGTCATCAAATGTTCGTTCAACGATTCTCCTTTATACTGGGCACTACAGTCAAAGACGACTCTCAATTTGTTAGGTTGTTGAACGCCGTGATGTGGAATGTACCAGACTGTTTTCTTGTAGTCCATGGGTTCTGGTACATACTCTGAATACTCATTCTTGATGAGAGCATCCATTACCTTGGTGTAATGTTCATGATAGACTACATCCTTTGTGAACTTTCGTCTTAAGCCTTGTAGCCTCTTCTTGGCTTGGAACAGATTGTTCGGCATCAACGGTTCCTCCATCTTGAATGGTAGCGGCATTTCGTAGTGCCCATTATCCGCAACATGGATGCCATCTTCCATTACTTTCAGGAACTTTTTATCATGCTGCGAATATGGCCTCTCATTCGTGTCTGCATTGAAACCTGCTTCCATTAGTTTCAAGATGTGGCTCGGGGTGATTTCTTCCTTTGCAGTGATAGACTGTGAGAACACTGCATCAAACTTCTGGTGTTTGTTGACACCATGTAATTCAGTGGGGATTTCGCAGCCCAGAATTCTATGACTCAGTCCTATTGGATCCTCTGCACTGCCTTGATAGTTGGAGTCCACTGTGCCGATGATACTCCAACCCAAATCAGTCTGCATCCCAAAAGGTCCGTTTTCGTCTGAGGAGAGAATTACAGCACGAGGAGCTAGAGCCTTTGCACAGTCATACCCAATCAGGAGGCCAATTTCACAATCTTGAAGGGGCATCATGAACTCTGCAATCTCAGTCAGATGAGGGTATGATCTGGCCACATCTGGAGTGGGAATGTGCTCCCGGTTAGCAGACATGATGCTGCGGGTGTATGTAGGTGGCAGACTGATCTCCTTATTGCTATTGAAAGCCTTCACCTTTAAACCTGTAATCTTCTCACTCTTCACCCTTTCATCGGCCCGTGTCATCGTAGAAAGCAGGAGGTTGACTTCTTTGCCTTTGATGCCCATGTCCTGCTTTGTCTTGTCCAGGATGAAGGTAGTGTCAGACTGCGTGTCTAACATGGCGTACACCAACCTCTGCTCTCGAGCTGTGCCATGGGACAACCAAACCGGGAGTATCGAAGATGTCTTTGCTTTGATGTTAAATCTGTTGGCCGATGCATGAGAGCTGGATTGCATTTCTTCTTGAACTTTTGAATCCTTCGGCTGTGCTTTAGTTGTTCTCCAGCTCTCATCATGAAGTACCGTTGGATGTTTGTACTTACATAATGAACATGTAGAGCGTATCTTGCATTTCTTTGACACGTGTCCAAACTTTAGGCAACCAAAGCACAGTCTTTGTTCTTTCACAAACTCCTTTCGGCTATCTAAAGTCTCCACCTTGAAGGTAGAGCAGTCCTCAAGTCTGTGAGTACCCTTACAAAAGCTGCATGACGGCTTACTGTTGCTTTTCCTAGCGTCGGTTCCGAATGCCCTTGCCGTAGGCAGCTTCCTTTCCCCCTTTGGCATCTGAAAAGATGTGACGGGATCACAGGCAATGGTCGCCTCATCGTTAACGAATCTTGCAAAGATGGAAAACGGGGGAAAGGCAACTGTGTCTTGCCTGTACCTCGCAACAGTCCGTCCCCATCTCGCCACTAACCAGTCGGGTAGTTTGGCCATCAATTTCCTGCTCTCGCGTTCATCATCTAAATGTCTAAGATGATGGACGTATCTTGATGCCGTATCACATTGTCTCAGGAAGTCAGCTAGTCTGCGTAGACCTTGTGAATCTTTTGTGCTAATCTTTGGCCAGGCATCGAGACGGTCTCTGTAGGCATTGGAGATGATGAAAGTGTCTCCATACCTCTCTTGTAGATTGCTGACAGCTGCTTCATAGGCTCCATCATCTCCTAGCATGGCATATCCTTGAACAAGGCCCTTTGGTTCTCCTCTGAGATATTTCAGGAGAAAATAAAACTTCTCCTGCGGCGGAATGCCCTGTTGCCCTATGAGGTTGTCATAACTACGTTTCCATGACGTATATTCCAGCGGATCGCCCCCAAAGATCCCTGACTCCGGCACGGGCAGCCTGCTCATGGCAAGGAATTTCAGCACTCCTTCGTCTGGATTGGGACTTGCTTCTGCTCTTGCTGCTGGCTCCTTTGAAGCGTCTTCATTGTTGGTGGCAGCTGGCGGTCCGTTGTCAACCCATTCCTTGCACCTGGAGGAGGCCTTTGAGGCCACATCACCGCGTAAGAGAACCAATGTATTCATGACTTTGTCCATCAAGCCGGAATGCTTTTCCTCCATCGCTTCCAGCTTGTCCTCGCTGTTGTCCTCTTTTGACAAGGCAGTCGTGACTTCTGCCAGCCTTTCCTGAGCTCGATGACCTTCTCGATTGCTTGTTGGGTGCCGTTTCGACCATCTCTAATCATTGATGATTCTGGTTTTTCATCACCTAACAGCTCCTTCAACTTGTCGGCTGATCTCTGCCACGTTCTTATTGCACCCTTCCAGTTCTTGGTTGCAACACCAAGCTGGTATTGCAACCCCTTTTCGGTTGTAACTGTTTCTCTTATTGGTCTTGTTTGACCCTCAGCTGTTTGTCCCTCAGCTTTTCCTTCTCCTTCTATCATCTTGTCTGATCGTTGGAGAGAGCTTACTTGAAGAGCCGAGAGGCGGTTTAACTCAGGAAAAGGTTGGCTGTTTCCCCGAGTTCTTTTCACTCTTCTGAGAGAGAGTTTTCACTGTGACTGTCTGTGAGGCGAAACGCTGAATAACTACAACGACTCAGGTTTTTACGGGAGTGTCAGTTTATTTTAGAGTCATAACCATCAAGGGGAATGCAACTCTGTCTTTGATGAACGAATCTTTTATCTTAATACTCCTTCCACTGCTTTATTCCGTTCTTCTTCCCTTCACTCCGTGAAAACTGTACATGATAAAGCATAACAGGAATGCATAATAAGTACGTGTTTATGAATATAAGTTTCACAACATTAAAGCAACTATAGCATTCTACTAAATCAAAGGCATTGTCTGAATTCAGTGTCTAACTCTCTTTGAATTTCATATAGAAACACACAATTAAACTTACATCATCTTTATCATGTCTAAATCAGATCTAACGTGGTTTCAACTAATAATGTGACTATATTTAACGAGCTTGAATGACTTTATCATAGTCAAGGAATACAATAACAAAGTCATGACCTTGACCTGTCATTCACACAGATATGCTCACATTCCTCATCCAATTTCATCATAGAATGTCTTCTTCTGCATCATACGTTTAACTTTACTATTTCTTTCTACTTTAAGCTAAACCAAAACATCAATTATAGATGTAATGACATATTAAATGTTCAATAGATATCTCTAGTCTATCCTATGTGTGGGTACACAGTATACACATGTTATACATTTGCCATACAAATTACTGTGCTACTGTGTAAGTTTCATACAATGTAAACATCTTAAAAACTACCTTTTTTACATTCATTTTCATAATGCTCAAATATGTGGTTTAAATTAACTAACCTCTGTGCCTCCATAATACTGTAGAAACAGCTCTCAGGAACAAAGGATGCTCCAGAAAACCACAGATTTTCCTCACAAAACAGAAATCATGTTGCAAACATGATCATTTCAAATCAGCCAACAACAGGTGGCGCCAAACAAGTTTCTGACCTTCAAACTAGAAAAACTTTAAATAAGAACTGTCAAAGTAATCTTTGACCAAATGCCCTCTGTTGTTCTATTATTGCAATGTCAAGCTAAATCAATAAATACTAAATAAAATGACTTTAGCTAGCAAATACAAAATTACAACTTTCACACTATGCAACAGTGCCATTGTGATAATGTGTATGATCCAGTGTAGATACATAGTGTTGAAACAACAGAGTAGATCTCTCCCCCTCTTCCATCTCTCCCTTATCTCTCTTGGGTCACTCTGTACAGAGGTCAACCTCATTCGTGGTAGGGGAACACACACACACACACACACACACACACTCTCTCTTTCTCTCCCTTTCTTCCCCAATTCTCGTTCATGTTATGTTGTTGAGCAACACTCTCCATTGGGCTAGGACAGGCCCGGGGGGGGGGGGGGGGTACTCACGTATATTGGGTATACGGGGATGTGCCGCTCGGAAGGGTGACTTTTTCAGGAAAGATCCTTAGACATGGGTCCCCTTTTCATTAAAAAAATCCTTAGACATGGGTCCCTTTTTTCATTTATTCCTTTCCCCTCTTTTCTCCCTCATTTTCTCCTGGATTTTGGGATTTGCTCCTACATTGAAAATGCCTAAATCCGGGGCCTAAATCTCTCCCATCTCTAAATAAATGGACCCTTCGGTAATTGCATTTCCAGTGTAAAAGGTGTACGCACTGACCTCTAAGTCAGTGGGTGTACGTACGTAGCTCGTAAACTCAACTAGATCCCGGGGTACCACATATATCAGGACCCCATGGGCTCTATACCGGGTACTCATATGGCATAATGCGCGCTAGGTATGGTATCCGCCCGTATAGGGGTCGTACCCCCGGAAACTTGTAGCGCTTCGCACGCTGAAAGATCGGAAGCTATACCCTGCGTACCCTCTGCCCAGCAGCCGGGCAGCAGCGGGGCTCAAGCAGGGAGCTATATAGCCAATGCTTGAGAGCTCGTGTACGGGTACGTTAACAGGAAAAGTCCTTCAATTAAAACAGATGCTAGAGGTGCTAGCACAGTATTATTATGTTGCATGGTGTTTTCATCTTTATGTGTGTAAACTACTTGTAAACTACATGTAGTATGGTACAGTTTACTAATACAGAACTTTATCGAGAAACTGCAAAATTATTGGCCATTGTATTATTACACACATAGGTGCATTACTATCCTGGCTGTGTATTAAAAGCTGTGCTAGTATAGTATTGATTCTCAACATTTCAAACACCACTTTGTAAAACTCAACCAATTTCACTAAAAATCGATACTTTAGTGACAATCAATAAGATCTAAATAGCAGTAATATACATTTTTTTAACTTTCCGATGTTAGAAAGAATAATTTAAAAAATCAAATTGTGAGTCCACTATCGAACTTGCCGATCAGCCGCATCGGCATGATTGTGTGCATCTTTGTGTTATGAGTGTATTGACTATTCATGTATTTAAATGCTGCCTATTAACGCGTAGTGCAGTGCTAAAGGTCAATATGCATTAGCGTTGACTCTCCATATGCTTTGCTGGAATGTATTATTACAGCTTAAAAAATGTAATATTTGAAGTTTGAAATCCTTAGACATGGGTCCATTTTTGACAAAAAATCCTTAGACATGGGTACCTATTTCAGCAAAAGGACCCTTGGATGTGGGTATGGGTTCGGAGGTCTCAGCCGCACACCCCCGTCCGACTATAATCTGAGTACCCCCCCCCCCCCGGGAGGACAGGGGGATTAGTGATAGGAGGCATGTTTGCTTAATTAAGAGCTCAGATAAGAAGTTGGAAACACTGCATTTGCTTGGCACAAGGGATTGTCTGACCATTTTTGTGGTAGTTTTCAATCGAATAAACCTGCTCATAATTATCCCATAGGCCTAATTGTATTTAAAGGTTGATGTTTGAATGTTGATTGGCTTATAATACAACATGTATTGCTCTATATTGCATAAGTGGAAGTTATCACATTTCTTAGAGACAATCAATATTCTTTAGTCTATATTTCTTGTCTTGTATATAGTTTATGATTATTCCTTTATATTTCTATGTTATATGTCAGATGAGTAGTCGAAGCATAATAATAGTGCAATAATTATAGGTGAATCACATACAGATTGCAGTATTGATTGATAAGCTCGTTTTCCTAAAACGATATTTATACCTGAGATTATGTATGTGTTGTGTGCTGGAGGAATACAACATATTTCTATGTTAGTATTATTATTTCCAAATCTGAGAGGATAATAGATTAGCGCGTTTAGATGAGATTGCCTAGGTACAATAAAGGTCTAATTTAGAGTTAGGGTATAACGAATCACCATCAGGGGCGTCTCCAAAGGAGGGGGGGGGGTGGGGGTGCGACACCCCCACCTGTCAGGATATTGTCGGGAAAATTGCGCTGCCGTCGGGAAAAAAGAGAAAAGGGGGGGGGGAAGAGAGGGAAAGGGAAAGAAAAGAAAAAAGGAAAGGAAAAGAAAAGAAAGATTGAAGGAAAAGAAAGGAAAGAAAGGGAAAAAGGAAAGAAAAGAGAAGAAAGAAAGAGAAAAAAGAAAAAGAGGGAGGAGAGGAAAGAAAAGAAAAGAAAGAAAAGAAAGAAAAGGAATAAAAAGAAGAAAAAAGAGTAAAAGGGAAAGAAAAGAAACGGGGGATGAAAGAGAGGAGAAAGATGGGAGGTAAGAGTCTGAGAGAGGAGGAGTGGGAGTAAAAGAAAGAAGGGGGTTGTTGGGTGGAGTCGTCTGGTCGAGGGAGCAAGAAAGACACGGGTAAATATGTTGCTGTGTCGGGTCAGCTGTGTCGGTACTCTTGCTAGATCCTCGTGTACTATATCAATGCAGAAGTTTGAAGTTGGTGAGATGTATATTGTCGGTCGGCCGACAAGTTTTTTTCCCTACGAACTGTGACTTTTTATCCGCTATGAAGACTTCGAGAGTGACTACAACTACTATACTTGTATTTTCTCGAAGTTTCACTTTCCTATAATATCAGCTAAAGAAATCAGAGGTTTGACATTTTCGCCTGAATTCAAACAAGGTTTAAGAGTCAACAACGTACGGTACGACGAATCGTCTTCCTTTCTCTATATTGTGATGAAACGCCAAAAATTCCACCCTTCGCGCGGAAGGGGAAAACTTCATTTAGACGAGTCGAGAACGGTACAACGAATGGTCTTCTTTCTCTGATAATTTAAGGAATCGTCAAAGCTTCCGCGCTTCGCGCTAAAGGAGGAAACTGAATTCAGATGAATAGGACTTATTAAGAGTCGAAAACTATACGAAGAATCGTCTTCCTTTCTCTATATTGTGATTAAACGCCAAAAATTCCGCGCTTCTCGCGGAAGTGGAAAACTTCATTTAGCAGAGTCGAGAACGGTACAACGAATCGTCTTCTTTCTCTAATAATTTAAGGAAACGTCAAAGCTTCCGCGCTTCACCCGAGAGGGGGAAACTGAATTCAGACAAATATGGTTTATTAAGAGTCGAAAGCGGTACAACGAATCGTCTTCTTTCTCAAATAATTTAAGGAAACGTCAAAGCTTCCGCGCTTCGCGCGAGAGGGGGAAACTGAATTCAGATGAATAGGGCTTAATAAGAGTCGAAAACGGTACGACGAATCGTCTTCTTTTCTCTATATTGTGATGAAACGCCAAAAATTCTGCGCTTTGCTCGGAAGGGGAAAACTTCATTTAGACGAGTCGAGAACGGTTCAACGAATCGTCTACTTTCTCTAACAATTTAATGAATCGCCAAATCTTCAGAGCTTCGCGCGGGAGGGGGAGAACTGAATTCAGATAAGGATTAAGAGTCGAGAACAGTACACAGAATCGTCTGCTTTTTGTCATCATGTAATGAAACGTCAAAGCGCGGGAGGGGGAGAAACTGAATTCAGACTAGGATTAACAGTCGATAACGGTACAATAAATCGTCTTTTTTTCCTAATAGTTTAAGGAAACGTCTAAGCTTCCGCGCTTCACGCGGGAGGCCTATCACCCAAACCCCCGCGCTCTTTAAGTGATTCGCTTGTTCACTACCGCCCCTCCCTAAAATAAGATCCTAGCTCCGTGTCTGCATTAAAATATATAGCTATGAATGCTGACTAAGTTGACGAAATAATTCGTATATTTGTGTCGTCGTGGAAAATGACCATTTCGCATACGCAAGTATTATAGATAGTCCATAGGAAAAACAATTTAGCCTTCGGCCCGGGTTTATAGGGTTAAATTTGTAGGTATTGGAAATTTAATGTTGTCTGTAATTTGTGGCTAGTTTTGTCGGTAATTGTTGGCCTCTACACCCCCCCCCCCCACTGAAAAAGTCTAGCGACGCCCCTGATCACCATATTAGGTATGAATATGATGTGAATAAGAACAAAACATATATAACATTATTTGTATGTAAGTGTTTATTCGATTTGATAATGAAACTGTTCTTATAATAATGTAGATGTTAGTTAAATAGGAACTCTGTAAGACCATGCATTATGGTTCAAGGCATGCCCACATAGAGAATTTTGTTATGTTAGGGGTCGGGGCCAAATGCAATGAATTATTGATAATTTATTGCATTTTCTTTGAGTTTTTTTTTTATTTATGGGGGGCGGCGACGTACCCTAGCCCCCGCTGTTTACTCGTACCAAGGGAATACTGCGGGGAGGGTGGACCGAATGGCGCAGCGTGGTCGTAATTATTTTATTTTTTTTGTTGGGGGGGGGGGAGGGGCAGGATGATTGGTCGCGTACATTATTGGGGCACGCCTTTTTTCTTTATTTGTTCAGAAATGTACGTTTTCAATAAATGTTTTCTACAAATATTCGGGGCCATGTGGCGACCCCCGCCCCCCCCCCTGCGCCTCCGCCTACGCCACAGCCATGGGGTGTTCCCTATCCATTATTTTGCTTTCTTATTATCATTTTGTTTATTGCCCTGCTTATGTCCCCTAACCCACAGCAAAGGAAGGAATCGACAGAGAGGGGGTTGTATGGACTTAAAGGGCAAGTCCACTTCAAAAATTAATAACAAACCAATCAAACTAAAAGTTTGCAAAATCGGATAACTAATAAGAAAGTTTTGAATTTTTGATGACATGAAAAACTTTGAAAATCACAAGACAAATTGGCAACTCACTCACT